TACGGTTGGACTCGCATATCTTTTCTCATGTCTCCTTTCCATTGGGCGGCGAACACTTCTAGCACGAGCAGAATATTGCTGGATACTTGACTCATTAGAAAATAACACTGCACTCCACTGTTGTACTGTCCAGTTCTTATGCTTCTGGGCGAAAGTCAGTCGTTTCTTTTTCATATTTGGGGGTAAGCCGAGGTTTCCTAGCTGGTTTGTAGGATAAAAGAAAATCTTTGGTCAAACATCTTGAAATAGTACTCAAACTGATGTTTGTGCCCTTTGCAGCCNACACAGTTGGCTGCTACATACTCTACACATGTACAAAATACATCCATTACTGATTGCATTCTTTGAAAACACTATGCAGCACTGGAGAACAACACTACATCTCAGGGTTAGTAACACTTCCATAGAAACAAACGAAATATTCATTAGGCGAGGAATTTTTATTGCGTGTTGTTTAACATGTTGGATAATGGGTTCAGGGCTAAACAGAACCAGAGAGGACACTCTCTGGTTCTGTTTAGGCCTGATCCCATTATCCAACATGTTAAACAACACGCAATATGGCTACAATATCAGGCATGAAAAAACAACAGTTTACACTCTCACATCTCATGTACATGGACGACATAAAACTTTATACATCCACACAAAAACAACAACATCAACTCCTACAAATCACACATTCATACACTAAGGACATACAAATGGAGTNCACAGAAATGTCCTCTTTTGGTCGACTGAGAATCTGCAAACAACAAAGTCGTGTATGAAACAAGACACGAGAATAACATCAAACAATTATTTTCTAACTCTAATTAAATATTTCAAAATTTAAAAAAGTAATAATTATACAAAATCCGCTTTCGACATTTTAATGGTAAAATTTCTTCATTCAAAATCTGAAAGACAAAGGAATACAAATTAATTTTTCTAAGGAATATGCATTTATACGTATTAATTAACCAAATTCCTAAAGTGACGTCAATAACGACGTTCAAAATAATTTTACACGCGATTTTTAGAAACAAACTATTTACGGGGAATGCTTTTTATATATTTTCTTTTGATGATTTTTGGCTAGAAATTTGCTTCGAATTAACATTATCCTAGTTAAAAGTCACTATAAATAATTACTTTGGATTGTCGTAGACATCCNGTACGTGACTTTTCAGCTTTTAACAATTGAGGTAAAAAGCTTTTTACTAGAGAAACTTGTTCTCTGTCGTTGCTCTCGATAACGACTATTGATAACTCTTGCTTCTTTTTGTCCATACTTATGCTTAACCTGGATGAAGTAATAAGAAAATTGTAAGTTATATAACCATTCTTTCTCGACAATAATATATATTTAATTAATTTTGTGAATTTATTTTAGCACCATGTTTTTGTAAACCTGCTGAAGAAATACCAGACGGTCCGATAAACAAAGTGTGTAAAGTGTGTACAGGTATAATACAAGGTGATCAATAAAGATTGTTTGTTTTCTGTGAATAAGATTTTCCTCGCTTGCTAAAGCCAAAACACAAGTGCAATACGTCCTATTAATAGGCTAAGTCCTAATAGACAAAATATATAACAAATAGAAAATAATGACATAGAAGCATATGAATTAACGCTTATTAATTTTCTCTCGTACGGTTGGCAACAATTCTCTAGTCTTATTAGAAGAGAAGGTTAAAATGGCGTTTGGTAGATGTAATCGTCGATTTGGAGTCGCCGACAGTCCGATCNATAATTAATAAAAATATCAAACTCTTTAATTTACATTTATATTTTTCTTAAATAAATAAAGAAGTATTTTTAAAGATTGACAAAGTTTTGTGCGCAGATACGAGTGTAATTTGCATCTTCCTCGCAAGTTTTCTTAACGAAAATATAAAGGTTACAATTACACCAATCATATATACCAGTGGTTCTCAATTAGTTTTTCCAGCGTACCACTTCAAGAAAAAGCTCAAACTCGCATACCCCTTATAGCAGAAATTCATATTAATCCATACTAATATTATAAATTCGAAGGTAACTCTGTCTGTCTGACTGTCTGTCTGTTACCTTTTCACGTCTAAACCGCCGAACAGGTTTTAATAGAATTTGGCACAGAGACAGCGTACATGTTGGAGATGGACATAGGCTATGTTTAACTGCGAGAAAATATCTTACTTCCACGAGAAAATTCGATATAATACGGGCGAAGCTGTGGGNAATTAACGCTTATTAATTTTCTCTCGTACGGTTGGCAACAATTCTCTAGTCTTATTAGAAGAGACGGTTAAAATGGCGTTTGGTAGATGTAATCGTCGATTTGGAGTCGCCGACAGTCCGATCAATTATATTCAAATAGACAGATTGGTAAGTTTTTCTTAAAATGTTAGATTGTAGTTATTATATATTTATTTATTTATAAGAAAATTTGCTTATTTACAGTCTAATATATTTTTTCAATCACGTGTATCTATTACAGGCAAGCATATTGTCTCGATTATTGTTATAATTGAGGAATATAATTAATGTACTGTACACATTCTGGTTACATAAATTATTATCTATACATTTACCTTTACCTTAAACGTAGATTNTACAGTCTTGAGTCATCTTCGAGTTGAAGTCGGTGACGATGTTTAGTTTTCATGTTTGTCATGGAAACTAAAAAATGTACAATTAACACAATTTGTGTTAATTGTACATTTTTTGTTTCTTGCGTAAGAATTTCATTTAGGTATTGTCACAAATGCATTTTTTTGATGAAATTTCGAGAATATTTTTAGTTCTAAATAAACGAATTTGTGCATTCGACATCATGTTGTAAACTGTCGAATTTTTGATGGTTCACCTATTATTTTTCTAATTGCTTTAACTCATGTATTTAAATTCTAAATCGACCGATTTTAGATTGCCAGGCGTACCCCTTCATGCAGTTTCGCCTACCCTCAGTGGTACGCGTACCACTAATTCGGAACCATTGATATATACTAATTACTGAGATCAGCGTTCACAAATATCACTATCACAAATTAATGTAATTTACATATTTTTCCTCCAAACAATTTATATGCAACTTTGTAAAATAAAATAGTTCAAAAATAATTTTAAAATATCTTCATTCGATTTTCTTTTTCCTTTCATTCGCACGAAATATGTTTCCTTTTTCGGTGTATTCTCGTGTCATTTTTAATGGCAGTTTCATTTTTCTTCTTCCATAAAATACACTATTACACACGTCCTTCCACTTTTTTTAAACAATTAGTCAGTTATTACACAGAAATGTCCTCTTTTGGTCGACTGAGAATCTGCAAACAACAAAGTCGTGTATGAAACAAGACACGAGAATAACATCAAACAATTATTTTCTAACTCTAATTAAATATTTCAAAATTTAAAAAAGTAATAATTATACAAAATCCGCTTTCGACATTTTAATGGTAAAATTTCTTCATTCAAAATCTGAAAGACAAAGGAATACAAATTAATTTTTCTAAGGAATATGCATTTATACGTATTAATTAACCAAATTCCTAAAGTGACGTCAATAACGACGTTCAAAATAATTTTACACGCGATTTTTAGAAACAAACTATTTACGGGGAATGCTTTTTATATATTTTCTTTTGATGATTTTTGGCTAGAAATTTGCTTCGAATTAACATTATCCTAGTTAAAAGTCACTATAAATAATTACTTTGGATTGTCGTAGACATCCGCTGATAAATTCAACAAACTGACAATATAGAAATTTATGAAATGGACTTCAATTCTAATTATACAAATATATTTCAACTTCCTCCCGGGCTTCGACTCGAACGACTTTTGGAGCCGCAGTTGCAACGGAACATTTTCGAAATTCGAATGAATCGCGTGGCATCGTCTTCAATTTTTTATTATCGTATTCGGAAACGAAATGTTTGACAGTAAAACTTTCAATGATATTTTATTCGAATATGTAATACGACGAATAATATCGTAATAAAAATTTACTGTAAATAAGTGATCTATTGATAGAATGTAATACGTTAATTTATCTACGTGCCAAAATGGTGTCGTCCGAGTCTCTTGCCTGGGTCTAAAATGTTCTGATCGTATAATTAATGCTTCTAGTTTTTTAAATATTAGTCTATTGTGAATATAATCCAAATATTTAATTAATTTTTTAATTTTGAATTTTCGAATTGAGTGAACGTGTCATCTGTCTTCAATCCCGCAAGAGAGTAGTAATTAATTATAGGGTTATTCTATAACGTTTCCTTAAATACGAACATTTATAATGCAAATCAAATTATTTCCCGTTCAAATTTTGCCAATAATAAATAGCATATTGTTGATGAAATTTAATTAATACAAAATGTAATGCGTATTTCTTATTTGAACATCATAAACCCTCGGATTAAAATAAATTTTGCAACATTACACATAAACTTACTATTAGCCTGTAATATAAACAGTTGATCGATTGTTTGCAATTAATGAGATTTAACGTTAATTGCAATACTTTGTGCAAATTTAGAACAAAAATAAATTTCAGTATATTTCAGTATATAAATTTCAGACGGGAAATGAACTTTGACCGTTTATCTAAACTTTACTTAAAATTAATTGCCATTTCTGTTTTAAACACGATACCAATAACATTCCTGATAAACTAAAACCAATTACTTCAAGGAAAATAACTAAATAAGCTAAATGATTAAAATTCTTTCATAAAAAAAAGAAACAATTTACAAACTTTCATTTTATATAATTTCAAAATTATTTAAAATTTTATCTAACGAATGTCCACCTATTAATCACCATCTCATTACAGTTTTGATAATTTTTACATTATTACAGCCCGCAGGACATAAACCAGGGTGTTTTGACACATCTGTCATGTGTTAGATCGGGTAGGCGATGATGATGAGGAAAGAATCCCATATGGACTTCCACACCAGAAGAAATCCTGACATCAGGAGTTCGATTTAATGTTTGTCCTTTCCTCGATTTTCTGTAATATAATTTTCTTTAATTGACTTCTTGACTTCACTTAAATTTTCCAAATTCTCATTATATTTCTAACAGTGTAATTATTAGAAATATAATAATAATTTGGGATAATACGTTATACTATAACACACTGAATTAAATGACTGTTATATAATGATTAGAAATATAATTTATACTAAAATGAAAGAAAAAAGAATAGGCTAATTTTAAAACTTATTTGTTTCCACAATTCATATTTTATTCTATAAAATATAAATTATGTTCTATAAACAAAATTTTAAGGTCATTTCTGTTAACTGTACAGTACATTCTTTTATACTACAGTGATGAAATCGGAATGATTTATATATGTTGTACACGAATTTCCACTTTGTGATCTTTTAACTTCGTTTCCAACATTCTTTTAGTCTCCACAACATAATAAACTTTACATTTGCATGTGCAAGATATTTTTCTTACATCAGACTTCTTTACTTTGTCTTGTCTACTTTTATCTTGTTTTAAATAGTTTAATTAATTTAAATACAGTTGTCCCTCGATAGTCCGACGTTTTTTAATCCGATATGCTCAGTAGTCCGACGCACCTCCCGTCAAGGTACCCGTCCCCGTTACGTGTCTGCTTGCACAGAAGCATGTCGCGATGTGAATCTCCCCATCCAATTCTTACTTGATGACACACATTTCGTGTGTTTTATGTGAGCAGTTCTGTTCAAACAGTTGGAGTAGAGAATATTGTAAGTTACTGCTAGCAAAACAATGCGAAATATGTAATTATTTTCGGTAATCCGGACACTTTTGGTAATCTGACACACCTTTGGTCCCATACCTGTCGGATTATCAAG